TATCCATAATTTCATATTCTAGCTGTTGATTTGGTAAATAGAAGCAAAACAATAGTCAGCGATGGAATAATTATTGACCATACAGCTCCCGAAATAGTTCTCAACAGAATACAGACACCTTCACCATATCTCATATCTTTAGATACAATATCAGCCTGGTAAATTATTATAATTAATCATTTTAAAAATGTTGTATGATTTATTTACAGAGAAGAAAAAATATTTACTGGCTTCAAGATAAAAACAATTTTTGTGAAAATCACGCTTGGTTTACTATCGTCCATAACCTCAGATACTAAAAGTTTTATATATTTGATAAAGTCTGTTGTGTGATTTTTTTTATAGTTGGAAGGGAAGTTTTAAAGATAGTGAAAGTGGTATTAAATTCTATAAATGGTCAGTAGGTAGTAGAGGTACCACAGACGTATTAAAAACAAGAGAAACAGTTGAAGATTGTGATGAAGCTACGCTAGATGTTAAATTACAGGACGGTTTTACTTATTATATCAATGTTCAGGTATAAATTTAACTTTATATGGTAAAGGGATGGAAACCTGAAAGATTGCTTATTCTAGTTATTTCTCAAGTTTCATTATTAAATTTAACTTAATGAGAACCAAGTTGGGTGGAAGATTTCTTTCAGTTTAAATATTTCTTGAGCTGCAATCCTCGAAATAATTCTGCTACCCCCTTCTGTGCATACAAGAACATAAATATAAATACAACTATCATGAATTTAATTCCAGGCCATGAATGGAGTTGGAATGTCTACCATGTTAATATCACGACCACTAATAGTGGATACAACACCACCAATAACAGGATTAGTATTGGATGGTATTTCTGGTGATAACAACATAGCGGATATTGATTATATCTCTAATACTCTACCACCTTCTGTTAGATGGGAAAGATTTCATGATCCCCATTCGTCTATTAAACATTATTCTGTTCAAATAGGAACTTGTCCTGGATGTGATGATGTTTTACTACAAACAGAAACTCGAACCTCTCATAGTAAGTATCATGATGGTTGTTTTCGATCTTAGAAACTCAAACTTCACACAATGTCGTAGATTAGTCCAAATAATACATTGAGGAACCTTAAATGTTTAACATTAATATAATTTTTACATTTTAGATTTTACTTTCACTAACATCAGATTTATACCCGGTATGAAATATTTTACCATGGTAACAGGATGTAATATGGCAGAACTTTGTTCTTCAATATCTACTGATGGTTTTATTATTGACGTAACACCTCCAAAAAGAGGCCACGTGATAGATGGAACTAGAGATGCTGACATTGACTTTCAGGCTTCAAGGTTGGTCTATAAGGAATTGTTAGCATGCAACTTTAGTGTCAAATAAGATTTTCTTCTATTAGACCCTACTTCAAGCTCATATCTTCAAGCTCTTGAGCCCTAGTCCAAATACGTTATCGTATTTGAGCTCCACCAGATGTCGTTAGCGAGGCCGGGGTTGTCTTCCCTTCCTTA